GTTCGTGTCATTTTTTTTTTACTTTTTCGACTTCTTGAAAACTACAAGCTTGAATGCTTTGATACGTGGTGTATATGCACCTTGGGTAGGTCTCTCTTAGATTTGTTCATTTCATGGTGATATCTTCAATTCTCTAATTTTGGTGATTGCTTTGATATTATATATATAGGTACTACATGTGGACCTCTCAGATTTATTCATTTTGTGATGATATCTTTAATTCTCTAATGTTGGTGAATATTTTTGTCACATTTGGTAAAAAGTGATATTTTCGACTTCTTGTTAAAAACCGCAAGTCTGATTGCTTTGATATTACATATATAGGTACTACATGTGGACCTCTTTCAGATTTGTTCATTTCGTGATGATATCTTCGATTATCTAACTTTAATGAATTCGTTTTGTAATTTTTGGTAAAAAGTGATATTTTCGAATTCTTGTCGAAAACAGCAAGTCCGATTGCTTTGATACTATACATATTGTTCATTTTCTAATGATATCTTGTATTCTTTAATTGAAATGTGTATTGCTAACAGCGGAGCTATCTCAGCCGATAGGCTGCTTGTTATATTTAGTGCTCGTTCCCGTTCCCGTTGCCATTCCTCTTTTGTTGGGTATTATGCCCTATCTAATGCCGCCTTCGTGTCGGATGTTTGAAAGTAACATATCCAGCGTAATTTATCTCACATTATGGGCTGTCTTTATTTTATAACAATGGTTTACACTTCTCGATTACCGTCATAGGCTTTCAATTATTGTACAATGTTTTTTTTTCAACTTGTGTGAGCAAAAATAAACAGTATAAGCAATTACCCGGATTACATTGAACGCACTATTATAATTTTCCCTGCAATTAACTGTTAACAATTAACACCATAGTGACAACACTTTGGTAAATTGACGAAATAAAGTATTTAATTTCATTCGGATATACCTGACTGGAATGTTAAAATGTTGGTTCGTTCACTTAGAATCTAATCTTTGTTTACGGATAGGTTGGTTTCGAACTATCCATTAAACAGACGTAATTGTATCTGGGACCTTGTCACTGAATTGAGCCGAAAGAGCGATCAATCAGTCTGTCATGCCGAGTTTCCGAGTTATTGCTATATCGAAAGTTTTTTGTGATATTTTCCGGCTTTAATTTGCCACTTAATTGGTTTAATTGGCTGAATTATTCGTCGACGATTACCGCCTTTCAAATGTCAATATATTATGGTATAGTTTTAAATGTAAGCTAAATTCAGACAGTCACCTGTGACACAGCCGGAGTGATTCAACATTATACGTATCAAATGGTGAACTATTAGTATGTTACCCCTTTAAAATAAAGACTGCGTTGTGTTATTGACCTCCGAATGCGGCATTCACCCCCTGTCTTTAACCTATCCGATAACACGTGTGAAACCGGATGATATGTTTTTGGGTCTATGTTTATTGTTTTGATGTGAGATTCGAGATGGCACAGACGACTAACATTTCAGTGTCGCCAATGGTGCTTGGAGTTCTTATGCTTGGCGTGCACAATTGGCCGTTTACTATTTTGGTTTGTTCTTCCTATATCAACATGAACACATGAGAATGCTTACAAAGCGTTATTGACTTTGGCAGCGATTGTAGACATATGACGGTATGTCGCTCTGTTTGTCCTACGATGTGCTGGTAACCACTCGTACACGTTCGATGTTTTTTTTTACATATGGTCAGACACTCATACAGACAGTTTAGCAATTATTGTTACAGTTGATCTGTCATCGACTTGCCCGTTAATGGTGAATGTTCCTACCATAAGTTCTCAGTGCGTTCATTTACCACAGCTCCGCCGACAGCGTTATTTATAGATCGTCCGTGTCCATGTTACAAACTCGATCCGATTAGAGTATAGTAATGATATACTTTGAACATTGTCACTCGTAATAAAATTGATCAGGTCAATTTAATAATTAACCCAAGTAAACCCCGCCAGCGATCAATCGCATTCACTCAGCAGGTGTATCATCTAATTCACATACTCTGGTTAACGACTCGGGTGGAAGTTACTTATTAAATAATCAGAAATACTGGTGTTATACGCTGTCACCAATTGATTAGTTCGAACTATGGGTCAACCGCATTCGACCTTTTCTTTTGCTATGCGGAATGGGAAATGAGTCATGCATGTCGCGTTGTGTCTCGTCGGGCATTCCTATTAGGAGACAGTGCCTCACCGCTCGTATTTGTGGGCCATGTAATGCTCACAACCGTTGTAGATACCTCTGTCATCGTTAATTTAAACACTTACTTGTAGGGGTGTAGTTTTTGAAGGGGTGTGTCAAAAAAGAAATTAGGGGTGTAGGAGAGGTTACAGGGGATATGTGATATTTTATGTTGTGCCCTTAAATACATATAAAAAAAATTGTGTATCATGAGTTATGGCTTTCTGGTTCAGATATGGAAAATTGTTGAAAGTGTTTGTGGAAAATCTTATTGTATGTTAGGGGTACGCAGATGATAGATCTGGGTCTCTATCGCTTCAACACAACACAATTTTGCACGAGAATACATTTTCAGAACTAAATATGTAAACAAACAACCTAAAAGGACGACTATACCTTCCTTGTCATCATTGTAATTAATATCTGTCGTCAGTTTATCAGCATGTTTGTCACTAATCTCTCTGTCATTATCGTACTGTTATCATGGGGCTTAGAAGAATGTCCCCAAATCGCTAAAAACTGTGCAACATATTGAAGTTGAAAGTAAATGAGGCAGGAAGCCACTACCTGGAAACCAGTATGTTTTAGTTAGACATTTAACGATTGTTATGTTGAACTAGCTCACATATCATCAGGTGAGCTAGTATCACCTATCATCAGCTGCGACTTAATGATGCGAATTCTTACTGATTTGGAAAAAAACAACCCGTTAGTTGTGAACTGAGTCTGTAGCCGCCATAAACAGTAGACGCAGGATAGATCTTCAATCTAAAAATAATCGCAGCGTATAAATAGTAAATGTGATGTGCTTATTTATACGCATCAACTAGGTAGTTTACATTATAAGTGGTGATGGTAATGATCGGGTGGGTCGTAACGTACCCCTTTGTCGCCGTATTACGCATATGCCACTGCTGTATTTTACACAAATCTGTACCATATTATTCATTCCGTGTGCATCAGTACTCACTGTGATTAAGTATACATATTTAGAACATTACAAATACATAGTCCATTCTGTTTCAGTGACTGAAACAAACCCTATGTCATGATTCCCAATGCGTAGAACAAATCATGTCACAAAAATGGCGTTTCATGCTACTTATACCAAATATACAATAAAACATGTAATCTTAACTGTATTTCAGTGAACTGTATAATACTAGCCCCCTAACGCTGGTTATTAACGACCAGTGTCGATAGAGACGGTATCCATCACACTTAAAATAGCTTACGTGGCATCGGTTTCTTTTTATATCAACAGTGCTTGCGACTCGGGGTTGTGAGTTTGCATTATACACGGTGTCGGTTTGTGTTTCAGTCAAACACCGCATGTAACAGAAGTCAAATTAAAATGAGTAATACGTATGCAACAGGGATTTTTCTTAATAACTACCCATTCATACAGCCATTCTTTCGTTCTAGGTTGCGATGTTAACCTCCAAATGAATGTAATTTGTTCTGTTCATTCTGTGCATTATACCAGACTTTATTCCTGTACCCTTTAGGGGTGGGTGCGTTCAAATAGGTCGTTACTGTTCGTACAGTCCATGTCTTGCTAGATCTACGTTCATTCTGCGTGCGATTATACTTTACGTTACATGCATCCATGCATAGGATGTGCCACAATTGTTTTTATACAAACATAAATTGTCACTAATAATGCACGATTCTTACGTCATTGTATGTCGGAGATGAGCCTTAAGAAAGTGGAATAAATTTACTAAAATCTATCGTCAGCACACAATAAAGTTACACCCCGTGTGCATAATGCAATCATGATATTTATTGAGAACAAAATATTGAAATATTACACCATGACGTACGGCTACATCCACTACACATTCCATCAATTAAGAATAAATAGTAATACTATTTTTTTTTTCATCAAAAACACAAACACCGTAAATAGAACGATCACAATTACGTCATTCGATTTAAAAAATAATGTATTTTTACGCTGAGAACATTCTAGTTTAACTCGCATTACAATATCTATGTTCCAACCGGTTTATTTTAATTCTAAATATATACATCCGGCCCTCGGGCGATCTTCGATGAAATTTTCTGTTTTTGTTGCCCGTACTCCACACATTGTTAAATGTAAGCAAATATGGGCGTGTAAGATGTCATAAAATGAATTATTATAATTTATCAAGTTATATGAGTAATATTAGTCATAATGATTAAATATGTGTACACATCAGTGCGTCTGTGACGTTACCAAATTACATTGAGCAGCTGCTCACTGGTGCAAATATATGGGCGCTTTAAACTATGGTTGTTGACCGTATTTTATAACTATATAAACTGAATTGAAATTGTTTTGTGAAGTCATTCATAGAAGGTTGCTCAAGCTAGTAGGAAACGACCTCGGAAACACAAATATATACTGGTGAATGCTAGTGAATGCGCGTTTAATACAGCCAGTACCTTCGCTTTCTCTTAACGTATATATATTTACAGTTTAAAAGGTGGTATTGCAGATTGTGTTCGAATTTTGTGTAAACTTTACACGCGTTATCAAAATGCCTTTCGTTCCGCGACGCGAAGGCTGACATTTAGCAGTTGGTTATTTGAAATACTGAAAGGGGTCTTCATAAATATCTAATATAAATATCCTATATTTGTTCAGTACTATATAAATAGGTCAAATCTGTATTTAACAACGAGGTAATATTTACAGTACGTTAAGAATTCCCTTTGTACTTACAGTAAAAGTCATGTGCAATACAAATACAGCTATTATAAATCGACTCCTCAGGCTCATCACAAGTGAGATATGTATGTCCAGTGGTATTTAGATTACATTGTTACCATGGTGTGGTTGCTTGTATCGTAGTAATATTTCTGTTTCGACCGCTGTTCCACGCAACAGCAAAGAGGGCCAAGTGCTTCTTTGAATGCCACCCGGTATTTGGAGCTCATAGCATTATATATGATGGGATTGGCGGCTGAGTTGATGTACATCAGGGTCTTGTTTATAGCAAACATAGACAAGCCCACGTTAAATGTAGGATATTTAGTGATTCCAAACACAGACATCGTGGTGATTAGAGTATATACCTGCGTCGGAATCATACACAGAAAGAATACGACTGCAGTAACCACGAGCATACGAACCACCTGTTTGCGTTCGTTGCGAACCTGCTCGTCTTTACCACTTCCTTTGTTCGTCCTTTCCGTCAACGCTCTTCCCACTTGTATGTAGAGAACCGCCACGAGTACCATCGAGGGTACAAATGTTATCAATCTGATGACAAACAGCGCAATTAACAAGTTTTTGTTTTGGCTTTGGCTGATATTTTGATTGCAAGTTAAATAAGTCGGCACCGAGACAATGATACCCATGATCCAAATGAAGGCAATGAAGCGAAAGGCTCTTCCTTTTTTATTTGTTACTCCGCTCATCTTGAAAGGTCGGCATATTGCGAAGTATCTCTCGAAAGCGATGACAGTCATGGTGAACAGTGATGCATACTGGCACGGACTGGAGATGGTGTTCATCACAATACAATAGCCTTTATTGAGCCACAGACTGTCATCTGCGTAATAGTACAAGTTTCGAATTTCCCCGGGTACCTGTAAGATTAAAAACAAGGTGTCGGCAATGCCGAGGTTAACGAGGTAGTAGTTTGTCAGTGTCTTCATATAGGGCACACGAGCTCTTACATAGATGAAACCTAAATTTCCAACAACTCCGACAATCATTAAGACTGCCCACAGGAAAGTCAGCAGCGGTGGCACGGCCGGATAATTTGCCCACATATTCAGTCGATATCCGTGGCTCGTGTCGTTGGCAGAATTATTTCCGGTAATATTGGCTTGTAAGGCCGACGCTGGAGTAGTCATATTGGCGGACATTTTCAATGCAATCGTTTGTGAGTCGCCTGTCAACACGTAGTAGTCCTGAAAAATAGAATGAGAACATATCCTGTCATATCAGTGGCACACGTACGTTTGCGAAATTGAATTAGTGTTGACGTTTTTCAAATATATATTTCTAATGAGTAACATTATGAACGCAACATATTTCAATTACAGTTGTTTTTAATTAAACCGTTGCCGTACAATGATGTAAAGAGTGTCACTGAGTAAGTACATTTACAACGTGGGAGGTGCAAAATGTAAAAAATTCTGGTAGCCAAAATATTTAAGATTGTTCCTAAAACACCTATATCTAGAGTTGCTAAAACGTCACTCCTTCCTTGATATATTTATTGTATCAACACATATGTTAGCAATTTATTTTTATCTGCGACTCAAGTGCTGGCTCACGATCTGGTGAGCATTAGCTAAACATGCTGTAAGCTTCATGGTTATTCAGGCAAGTTTCAAGTAAGTAAGCCATCGCCGATGCCATATCGCTTGTCTGAATAGGTGTCAATATTAGCAATGCTTATTAAAGTGTTGCTGACCATTGCAATGCAAACGGAATAAATCAACCCTTTACAGAAATATTTTACGTCAAGTCAGGTTGTTTACCTGGCATTGTCGATAGGTATAATGTAATTCTTTCTAGCATGAAATGAACACCATATACTGGAGCGGAACATTCATATGTTAAACTATGGACTATTGTTCAAATATTTGGATTCCCATGTCAACAGACATACTGAAATAGGCTGCAAGAGTGTTCATACCTATACTTTGCTTCCCACGTTCTACACAGTAAAGCCTCAACGTGTAAGTTCACTACTGAATGTCAACTCATCTGGACAGTTGCGTTCCCGATATATTATATCACAGTGGCTACTTTTTACGTCACGTGTTGTGATCGGATATGCTCGCTACAGTACGCTACTCAGATACCTTGTCGCTGGTGCCATAAATGACACTGTACTTTGTAGTGTGCAATTTTAAATCACCCACAATGCTCGGCGATGGACAGTTGAGGATACATGTTAGCCAATCAGTACAGAGATTCCTTGAGTGTTGTGTCTACATTGTAGTTAATATACTGTTAGTGATTTATAGCCCATTCGCTACAGTTTTCTCCAACACAACACAGGTATTCCATTCTACCTGTCAGCCACCGGCAGTTGTTATGGCAACTATTTGTATTTGCTACCGGAAGCCCTCATCCCCTTCCCGTTTGTTTTTACCTAGTAGGAAGTTCACCTTCTTGTATTATGTTCAGCCATATACCTTCAAATGAATATAGTTCCACAGAAGTGAATTAAAAGAAATGTGAGAACCCATCGCATTCATGACTCGAACCGTCTTTTTAGCTCCGCTGTCGACTTTGTCGAGCGGAGCTTATCATATGAGTGATTGTCCGTCGTTGTCCGTCGTCCGTCGTCGTCGTCCGTGTCAATGTCTTACTTTTTCGACTTCTTCTTGAAAACTACAAGCCTGAATGCTTTGATACTTGGTGTATATGTACCTTGGGTAGACCTCTCTCAGATTTGTTCATTTCATGATGATATCTTCAATTCTCTAATTTTGGTGAATATTTCTGTCATGTAAAAAGTGATATTTTCAACTTCTTGTCAAAAACCGCAAGTCCAATTGCTTTGATATTACATATATAGGTACTACATGTGGACCTCTCTCAGATTTGTTCATTTTGTAATGATATCTTCAATTCTCTGATTTTGGTGAATATTATCGTAATTTTTGGTAAAAAGTGATATTTTCGACTTCTTGCTAAAAACCGCAAGTCCAATTGCTTTGATATTACATAATTATATAGGTACTACATGTGGACCTCTCTCTGATGTGTTCATTTTGTAATGATATCTTTAATTCTCTAATTTTGGTGAATATTTTTGTCATTTTCGTTAAAAAGTGATATTTTCGACTTCTTGTTAAAAACCTCAAGTCCAATTGCTTTGATATTACATATATAGGTACTACATGTGGTTCTAACTCTGATTTGTTCATTTCATGATGATATCTTCAATTCTCTAGTTTTGATGAATATTTTTGTAATTTTTGGTAAAAAGTGATATTTTCCACTTCTTGTTGAAAACCGCAAGTCTGATTGTTTTGATACTTATACATATTGTTCATTTTCTAATGATATCTTCTGTTATTTAATTGAAATGTGCATTGCTAACATCGGAGCTATCTCAGCCGAGAGGCTGCTTGTTTTGCATTTACTTTAACAATTTTTCATAGCTATCACAACACGATATAACGACAAAGAGTGGACAATGCTAACGCAGCATTGCCTAACGACATGAATACTTGCATCAATGTCTGGATGACAATCAATTTCCATGATTCTACTTGCTAGAATTAATCATCAATACTCCTTCGTCATCGTGGTTACGTAATACTCGGCCTACGGGTAGTTCGCTGCCAATAAAGTAAATCATCACAAAAATACCGACCTTTTACGCTATTCCTATTGGTCCAAGACGTGTTGTTTCTCACATATGATGAAAATATTCGTAGGTTATAAGTTGAGTACTCATGGATTTCTCGACTTATTGGAAATCGATATTCAGTTTATTTTTATGAAAAATTTTGGTAATCTGTTATACCGCATAAATAAATATGTGTGATTTGTGCTCAAATTACTTATTACATTAAAGTTTTGAAACCCTCCAAAATGTGACACCAATTACACGTCTATTTTTATTTGATTGCACATGTTTGGGTACGTGATTATACCCCGTTATGTCTGATGATCTAACCGTGTTGGCAACTGACTGCACATTGCCAATAACACAACTATGCTGTTCTGTTCTGTTCTGGCGCTGCTATTCGTTTTTTTTATTATTAAATATTCTGCTCGAGTTGGTCAATAAAATGTCAATTGTATTCAAGAAAAACTGGACCATGTGCAATTTATTTGGCTCTGTGACAAGTAGAGGAGTTGACAGATGACACCACAGCAAGAATAGTAATTAACCACATTTTGCTTCTGACTTATTCAATTTCTCAATAATATATCTCAGAACGCGCACGTGTTCGTAACGATTAGAGATCTGTATGTATGTCAGTGATAACCTGTGAACGTTAATACGGTCTTGATCGCCATACATCGAAATTAACTAGTAAAGATAATTTATTATCTTCATTTGTAATAATATTAATGTATTCAAAAAATGTACAGCAGGCCACTGGCACTTTGTGCCATATGCTAACAAAAACAAAGATAACAGACAAATACGTCAAACCGGATTGCAATACAGTACATAAAATATGCAAGTCGAAGTGATAGTACCATTCATCCGACAAAGCTATTATGACTATTATGAAATTTGACAAAACATTTGATTAATGTGTTTATATTATGAGTGTACATTATTGATACGACTGTTTATTAGATTATTTGGCAACACCCCAATAAAACACACATTTAGGACGAATGCAACTGTTTACATTTAATAGTTTCAAATTGGATAATATACAGCGATATTACAACGTGTATATTAGTCTGTGTAGAAATATATAAACTGGGTCTAAATGTCGGATACTACTTATAAACATGAAAATAGCAATCGTCTCGGGCCTCGATTTGTACTTGACTGTTAAAATTGACGATTATTAATTGCTTATTCAAATACGTCATACGAATACAAGTCGACTGCTAGGTTAACTTTGCATCGCGTCTTCTATACTTTAACCATTATCGTTTGAATGAAGTTAAAAACAGATGCACAACAACATGTGGGAGTAAATTATATACATCTGCACGCCACTTGCATTCAATTCAGTAATTATGTATGTGCACGATTCCGACCTTTTGGGTCGCCACTGGCGAGTTCTTGGTGAAAGAAAGTCGCAGTCGGTCAAACGTACGCTAATGAGCGTGCTGTTCTAGTATAATGGTAATTACTGGTTATCAAGTCGTGGGCAATTTTCCAAAATACCTATTCACACCTTTGATTGTATATAATGAGTTTAACGATAAATCTACGGTCCAGTGAATTACGTTTAAATTACCGGCATTTTGAGCTAAACGTTTCACATTTTGCGTGTAAGAGGCAACGTGTGGCATTTTTGTATGCTGTTTCCATGTGACGAACTTGAACCTGTAGAGCTAACCATTACATATGATTGGCTATTGCGAGTTCAAATTTCGTACCTTCAGAGCAGTCCTACCTTTATCGAATTTCACAAATATCACAAGAAACAGTTTATTCATATATATTAGCGACGCGTTTAATGAAAACGCTGTAAGCAAATATCCTAGTATATGAGGTCATGTGTTGACCTTTTAAATAATATTGTATTATCAACGATACTTTTAATGGACTATGTGGTAACATATGTGTCTAAGCCTGCCATGTAGGTATGTGGGTAACAGCTGGTTTATTCAACATAATTATAATGTGTTACGAGCATAGATGAATTTATATAATGTATTATTGCCATGGTTATTGTGGGCGAATTACATCTCTGCTGGGTCTTCTTCTATAGAAAATGCACTTCAAGGTGATTATATCAAACATTCGTCAGTGTGGATGAGGTTGTGGTATATTATGCAGTATGAACGTGTTATGTGCTTGGTCATATGATACATGATGTCATGAATACTGTGCCTATTATAATATTCGACAACAAAACAGTATAAAGTAATTGTCTGAGCTAATGATGTGCGCTGTTAAGTTATGTGTGTGTAAATAATCTAATTTCAAAGCGAGTTGACAAAAATGTTTCAGGATAAGCATGTGATATTTATAAGCGTAAAGCGATTAAAATTTGACATTTTCTGTAACCGTTCATCAATACGTACGATAAATGCCTGACCATGAATGTTATTTTAAACGCCAACCTTTCAATGATATCAGCCTTTGACAATATACATTTGCGCTGTGCGCATGTCAATGTCGATGTTTTTGACATTAAATCAGTGTTCCACATGAACAGAAAATGCGCGATTAATATAATTCTATCACGTACATTTTTTTAACTAGGAAGCATCTATATTTCGTTTCATTTTTTTCGTCGCA